TGTGCCCCACCCAACCCCCAAACCCCCCCCCCCAGGTGAGAGGAGGATGGTATTGGGGGGATTAACCCCCCCATCTTTCTGCGGGCTGCCAAGGTTGAGAAACACTGCTCTGAATGATGCCACAAACCTACATCATGCCTATACAGGGGAAGTAAAAGATCATACAAGGACTTTATTCCTTTAGATAACTTAGACTCTGAACTACTGACTTATGGGGAACCTATTTAGACAAATACGTTTTACTTGGACATAAATCCTGATCGATTGATTGATAGATTGATTACACACCTTAAGCTTTTTCCCACTAGTGTTTGACCCAAACACCTGGCTGCATCCTTTTTCAGCTGAATTAGATGACCTCCATATGATCCCCAGCCCATGAGTAAGATAGCCTTAACTCAACCTTACCCACCTTTCATATTGCCATTCTTCTGATTCCATCCAAGGGCGACCGCAAGATTTATAAAATATGGGGGTCTGGAGAAGTCTCCTTCGTTCATCAAAACAATGAAAGGCATCTTGCACTGCAAATTCTGCCCCTTTTAGAGGTGTGTGCAACATTGCGATGCACATCCAAAAAGGGTGGGGTTTCTTACTGGGAGGGCCAAATGCTGTTCATGCCCTCCCACCCTCCCCTTTCAGACACCACTGGTGCCAAATGTTAGGTTTCATCATCCATTGACTGGCATTGACTAGGAACAGAGGAAACTGAGGCAGGAGAGGAGTAGTGATGGGGACCACAAATGTCATGCCTTGTGGAGGCAAGCTGAGCACCGATTCAGCAGTGGGGAAAGGACCACAGATCCAGATGCATACCCAGTTCTCTGCTGTGGTGAAAAGTATTGATCCTGTCCTTGGAGAAGACTGTCCCCTTCATTCACATTCTCTTTGGGTCCCATTACTTACAGAGGGACCTGGAGTTAAGATATAAAGTGGAATTATTGCTGTCCACCAAGCAAAACAAGAATGCCAGTTTGGTGTAGTGGTTAAAGGCAGAAACCAGGAGGCCGTGGGTTCTAGTCCCCCTTTAGGCACAAAGCCAACTGGGTGACCTTGGGCCAGTCCTTCTCTCTCAGCCCTCAGGAGAAGGACGTGACAAGCCACCTCTGAAAAGCTTACCAAGAAAACTGTAGGGACTTGTCCAGGCAGTTGCCAGGAGCCAAGACTAACGTGAAGACACACACACAAGCAAAACATAGGGGATGTGACATTTTTCAACCTTTATCCATGCTCTGTCCTTGGTGCATGTCTTTGTGCGCTAGAGATCAGAAAAATGCCTGGAAAGCCGTGTTGGGCTTTTCTTTCTAAAGCTAAAGAGACTAGTCTTCTGACTTTTTTTAAACACCCCCCACCCTACGCCGGTCCTGATGACAGAGAATTCTTCTGGAGTTCTGTTCTATGCAGGTACGTACTTAAGAAATATTTTAAACTCCCTGTATGACCTTGTTAGTGGAAGTTTATCTCTACCCTATTGAAAAAAAATCCCAGTATCTCTGATTTCCCCCCTTCTTGGTCTTCACTGAAAATAAAAGCCCAAACCAGGGGAAAATAATTTTTACGGACTTCTGCTTTTTCCTCCCAGTGATACTTCGATGCTTTTTATTTATTCAGGATGGGGATGTGGAGGAGAAAGAAGTTTGGGAAGGCTTTAAAATATTGGTGATATTTTCCTTTCTATTCTGCAGTTACAAGAAACATATAGATATAAATTAAGCATTGATTGATTCATTGGTTATGTGCCATTAAGTCAGTGTCAACTCTTAGCAAATACATAAATAGATTTTCTTCAGGAATCAGTTAATTTCATTATGACAGTATTAGCAAAAGCAAACATTTAGAAGCATATCTCTTAAAAAAAAAAAATCTTCTAACTACTTACAGCAAGCCCAGAATCAAAACAAATCTTACAGGATGCTAAGATTTCTGTTTGGACGTCCTGATTAAAATAGTCATTTCAACAGGCTGAGAAACAGTTCCAGCTTTCAAAACAATGTCTTATTTTACTTTTCCTTCTCTCGTTTCCTGGAATCCAACTAGATATGTAACACTGACTATCTGAAATATTCCAGAAAATGTTTGGGACACCTTCTGTATTTATTCCTAAATTAGGTTTCCATTTCTTTGTTACTACAGTTTCTGCTGTTATCCTATACATGAATATAGTAATATAATAAACTTGTTTCACTGATATAGACTTTTATGTTGCCAAAATGGTGCTGTTCATGCAGAAGAGAGTAGAGCCCTATTGTTTCTCCTATAGTTTTGAGATGACATTAATTAAATTAATCACATTATTAAAATAACAAATATTACATTATAATTGTTTCTTGATGAGAAGCAATTACATTTAAAAAAATTATTGCCATTGCTTACTTTTCCTCACAGTAATCCAGAATCTGCCCAGTGTTTGTGGTTTTAAACTATGGCTAAAATAAAGGATAACTTAAGTCTATGTGTGAACCAAGCCAGTATATAATACAGCCTTCTTCAACCCAACATTCTCAAATGTTAGACCATCCTAGTTAAGAGATGATAGGAGTAAGTCCAACATATCTGAAGGGCATAAGGTTGGGAAAATCTGCTCTAACATTTCCCAGATGTGTTACTCATTCCATGGATAACTTTTCAGTGGTTTTCACAACTGGAGTGGGCAACCCGTGATCTCAGGGCTGCACGCAATTATGAACTTCATTTCTGTAGCTTCTGAAGGCCCTCTTCCAACTACACTGATGAAACTTGGCAACAAGAATGCTGAACATTGGTGGGAAACACCCCCAAAAGTTCTCAACTAGGTTTAAAAGCCCAGCTGGTTGGCAACGCTTAACCAACCCTGAGGGATTTTGATAACAAAGCGTGATCTGGTGAGTACTTGTCCTTAGACCAGCAGAAATCCCAGTAATGTAAGCCAATCTGGGCAGTCAAAGAAATAATCCCTGAATTTCAAACCATTTCTGATTCATGCCAAGAAACCTGCAGGAATGTGTCTGTATAAGCTATCAAGGCCGAACGATGACTTAATTTTTCTAATTAATTAAATAAAAAAGAAAAAATGCCACATCCAGAACAAAACAAAACCCAACCAGAGAAAGTCCTAGCTCCCCCAAGGAATTCAACGGCAGCTCTCAGGCCCTAAAATGTTATCCATCCTTATACAACAGCCCTACAAGTTCCACCTGCATTCATAGACCAGATTTCTATTTCTCTTCCTCCAAAGAGCT